TCGGGAGACTTTCTCTACCGTAGCGTTTGTAGTGGCGGTGCAAGGAACTTTTCCAGTCCTTGTAGCACTTTGCTGCCTCCCTATCAACAACGGACCTCAGAATGCCGTTCTTGTAGTTATAATCCATGTTAAACCAATCCTTGTAAAATAGTTTCACATCGTTAAAACGCATTGTTAAATATAGTATAAACTATACAAAATGTACCATAAAAAAATACCAGCATCCGGTCCTGAATTGTCCTCTTGTCCACGTCGCTAATGTCCTTCCAAGCATCGTGGAAGGGCTCGCATATGTCCCTGGTATGAATCCCAACCGCACTATCAAACCAGGCATCATATTTACCAAGCGCCTTCCAAGTACCTCCCGCCTCATCAAATTCCACTGAGATTTTCCCGTCTTGAAGGACCTGTTGGGCGATTTCATAACCTTTTGCCCCACCTCGACCTCTACGTTGTCGAGGTTCAGGTACTGTAAGCATATGAAAGCAATTAGTGATCAACATGTACTACTACATTTATTTACTATATGATAGACCAAGAAAAAAAGTCAGAATAACATACCAGACTCACAGTAGGCGGGGACTCTGTGAGGACCGGGAGGAGGCTGCGCTCCCCCTGAAGAGCCAGCGCAAGTCGCTAACGTTCCAGCCATCAATGTCTGTGAACAAATTCATATTTATAATAATATTTATAAATTCAAAGAAGATCATAATATTTAAATGAAATTTGAGAAAAATTACAAAGATTACTATTCTGTAGTTCTACTCATCGTCGCTGCTATATTGTTGATTGTCGCCATCATCATTTATGTCATCATCGTCTTCAGATTCGATGACTTCCTCTTCAACGTACTCCTCTAAAGTTTCATCGTCTTCATTTTTAATAAAATCAACAACTACAGGAGACTTATCTTTCATAATTGCATCAACATCGGAAGTGACAACATTAGACGATCCATCATCTCGATTCAATACAAATGAGTCAATCTCTGGTAGTTCCACTACTAACTCAATATTTGTAGACTCTGTATCCTGGACTATCATCACGTCATCAATGTCAGTTTCTGGGATGTCTCAAATATGGCGATATCTAAAGTGTTCTACAACCTTCCAGTTTGGACCGTTAAATAAATCGTCTACATAAAAAGCTTGTTCTGCTTAAGATGCAAGTATGAAAGGTTCGTTCTCATACCACGTGTCTTTAACAAAAATACTTATTATATTTTTGTAGTGTTGAATCCTTTTCTTTTCCAGACGAGTGTCAAACCACAGACATTTAAAAAGCATAACAAAATTGTCATTCAAGTAGGACAGCTCATAAATGTCCTCTAAAACTCCATAAAATATTTGGTTATCAGGTCCGCGAATACAAACACCACTATTTTGAGTACTTCGATTCATATCCCGATGCGTGTCAAAAACTTGACACCGTTCACTACACAACCAGGATAACTTTGACATGAGAAGCTTGAACCACTTGAAAGCGAAAGTATTTGATCATTCGCTTCTGGCTCATTCTGCTTTCGAATATTGAAAATCTGTAAGGAGACATGAATTTTTTTTAAAACGAAACTTTTTAATGACTTAACAATGTTAATGTAAATTAATTATAAACGTACCTTATTCTTAAACCATTTTGGAAACTCTTTCGATTGAATTTCATCCAATAGTATGATTTGACCGTCGGCATCAATCTCCTTCCTATGGTCACTATTTAACAGAGAATGAAAGTAAATGACATAATTGTATGCGACACAATCAACGAACAATTTAGTTACAAAAGTGAAAGTAATACGTACTCAATGAACTGCTGAATTTCTGGACAGTTCTGTAGGACATACCACTTGGCTTTCTCTCGCAAATAAGTATCCAATATGACGGGGGTCATCTTCCCAATTGGCCGACAACGAGTATCAAATACAGAAATTTTTTTAACAATACTATCTTCATCGTCTATCCAATTTTTGGCCAGTCGGTTAAACCGTGTTTCAACTCCAGTTGAATACAACGAACAAAAAGACAAAGCTTCGTTTACAATGTATGCCTCAGCAATCGAACCCTCAGGACGTGCACAATTCTTGACATATTTCTTTAATGACCCAAGAAAACGTTCAAACGGATACATCCATCTTAAGTGAACCAGTCCTCCTCGAATGGCTTCTTCAGGCAAGTGTATAACTAAATGTACCATTATGTCAAAAAAGGCAGGAGGAAAAATTGTTTCTAACTTGCATAAAATAAGCACAATATCTTGTTGAGCTTTCTCTAAATCACTTTTCCGCAATGTCCTTGAGCATATTAACTCAAAAAAATTACTTAATTCTGTTATTGCATTAACGATCTCTTTCTTTATGAATGGTCGTATCCTTGTTGGTAATAATCGCTGCATTATGATGTGACAGTCATGTGATTTTAGCCCAGTAATTTTATTCTTCCATTCGATCACATTTTTCTCTAAATTTGAAGCAAATTCATCAGGAAACCTTACTGATTTTAAAAAATCACAAAACTTTTTACTGTCGTCGGGAGATAGTGTATAAGATGCATGTGGTTTCATCCAACGATCACCGTCTTTATACAAATGCAACTCCTTGCGCACCCCCATATTTTACAGATCGATTCTCGCCTTATCCGTATCTTTACTTTTTCCGTCAATGTCTAGAATTGTGCCCAATAAGCTGTCGCATACATTCTTCTCAATATGCATGACATCTAAGTTGTGACGTAACGACAATGACTTCCAATAAGGCAACTCCCAAAAGATACTCTTCTTTGTCCAATTAAGCTCGCTTGCATGTCTTTTCCGCTTCTTCCCACCATACTTTTCATGTTTACCAGGCAATCTGAAAGACACATTTTGTAACTGAGCTAAGATTTGGTCAACAGATTTTTGAGCCGGTGGAGGTCGTTTCTCAACCATACCATCAAACTTTTTATTTTTTCTCATCCCATGTTTAATAGGAAGCCATCGCCGATGGCCAACAAAACAAGTCTTACTTGTTATCCTCTTTGAAGGAGTTGCATCGTTGCAAGTTGGGCATGCTAAATAGCCCTGACCCCTCCATCCAGATAAACTACTACGAGCAGGAAAATCATTAACAGTCATGAGCAACATAGCTAGCATCTGAAATGATGTATTCGAAACTGCGTCACGTACAATTACTCCATCATTCCACAAATCTTTTAGCTCATCCACAAGAGGCCTTAAAAAGACATCCATATCCTTTCCGGGTGCATTTGGGCCAGGAATCAACAATGTCAACATCTTATAAGGATCTTTAGTGCATAACCACAGAGGTAAATTGTAAGCTGTTAAAACCACCGGCCACATACTGTATGAGAGGCTCATGTTACCGAAAGGATTGAAACCATCAGCGGCCAACCCCAAGCGAACATTTCTCGGCTCACGTGAAAACTCAGGATACTTTTCATCTATCTCCTTCCATTCAATACCATCGACTGGATTATCCTCTTTAGCTGTGTAATGAGAACCGTACAGACGCTTCAACCGATCTGTTAATGGGAAATAACGTAGTACTTTCCACGGGACTTGTTTAGTACCCTTTGTCTTTTTTTTTCTTTCAACGTGATGTTTTACATACAGGACACGTTTGTAGATCAGCGTCTCCTTCCAAAACAAAGCACAATCGTACTTGCAGACATGAATTGTTTCGTAACCTAATCCAAGTTTACTCATGAGCTTCTTCGACTCATAATGAGAAGAAGGTAACTTCACATCCGGAAATGCATCTTTCAATAGACTTAAGACAGCATCCATACACTCATTAGGCCACTTGTATAACACTTTTAAATGCATCAATTTCACTAAGAAATTTAAAGATGAATACTTAGTGCAGCCCGGGTACAATCCCACCTGGAGCTCAGAAAGTAGATCCTTAAATTCAGCATATTGTGCATCTTCTAGATCCACATGCGTCTCATCCAACATTCCATGGTCATCATTAATCTCGGTAACGTCTTCTAAGACTGCAAACATCTCGTCTACTGGTTGATTAACTATTGGGTCTACACCTGAAATCGCCTCTACTTCACCATGGTGAATCCATGTTCTATACAATGGATCAAAACCATATCGATGTATATGCGCTCTCACGGTTTCTACTGGATGCATTTCATGGTTTCTACATTTCATACAAGGACAGCTGATATGGCTAATTGAAGTTACATAATTTTTGGTGACCTTAATAAAAGCAGATAATCCATTCCAATATTCATCCGACAATCGGTTCCTCAAAGAAGTCCAACTTTTGTCAATCGACATTTCAACTATAAACGACAACAGACATAACAATTTATTAATGTGTTCAATTAATTTTAATTTTATTCTTAATTAACACAATTAAGTTTTATTAATTAAATTGTGTTACTTAACTTATTAAAATTATGGTTTCCTAACTGAAATTCGGCAGCATAACGACTTATTTTTCATATAATCCAAAAATCAAAACCTGCAGAAAAATAACTTTAAAAGATTTCGGCACACCATAGCTGTAAGATGTGCCACCCAGAACAAGAATCATAAACATATACTAAATTTCAACAATATAAGAAAATCATAATTCAAATATTGTCATCATAATCCCGAATTCATACAACTACTACAATTCTAAACTAAATAAATATAAAAAACTTACAAAGTTCAAACCCACTAAACGGGGGCTGAAACTCAAACGGGGATTACGTCGGAGGAACCGTGCAAACAAGGACGAAGGCGAAAACTCAAACGCCTACATCAAATTAAAACATCAAACATAATTTT